AGCAACGTACAACGTGGGGAGCACTGTAAAAAGTAAAACCATGATTCATCAGAGAGGAAGGATGAGATGTTGCTTTTGTTAAACAAGAGCAGTGTGCTTTTAAAAGAAATATTTGGGGGCACCTGGGTGGCTTAGTCAATAAAGCATCTGACTTCAGCTCAGGTCATGATCTCTCGGGGTCCTGGGATTGAGCCCTGCATTGGGCTCCATGCTCAGCGGGGAGTCTGCTCCTCCCTCTCCCTCTCCTTCTGCCAATCCCTCTGCCCTCCCTACTCGTGCTCTCTCTTTCTCAAATAAATAAAATCGAAGGAAGGAAAGGGATAGGGAAAGGGAAAGGAAAGGAATGGAATTTGGAGAACAAGGATGAGTCTTGAAAATGGAAAACATGACAGCCAAAATGAAAGATTCAGTATCGGGCTTGGGAGATGAAGGTGAAAACGTTCATTCATTCAGCAGGTACGTTCAAGTGGCTATTATGTTCTTGGCGTTGTTTTAGACGGTGGAGTTTCATCAGTGAGTAAAAGAGACAAAGAGCCCTTGGCCTGCTGGCGCTGAAATGCCAGCCGGTGGAGCGCGTAAACAATGCAGTAGCATGTGAGTTACATGCTGCGTTGTAGTATCAAGTGCTAGAGGCCGGAATAAAGCTAGAGCATGGTAAGGAGCATGGAGAGTGCCAGGTGGGGAAGATAGAAACAAGTTGAATTTTAAAGGGGATGGTCAGGGCCAGTCTCATTGGGAAGGGGACCACTGAGCAAGGACGCAGAGAGAGTGAGTAAGTTGACCATGTGATATCCAGGGGAGATCATTCCAGGCAGAGGGAGCAGCCTGGAGTCCCGAAGGTAGCTGGAGTGAGCAGGGGAGGTAACTGCCCGAGAGAACGTGGGCCTTTGTAGGTTAGTGCGGGGGTTCTGGCTGTTATTCAGGGAGATGGAGAGCGGTGGCAAATTTTGAAGCAGAGAAGTGACGTGAGCTGATTTGGGCCTTAAAAGGATCACTCTGACTACTGTCCTGGCGGAACTAACTACAGGGATAAAGGTACACAAGAGAGAAATTGGACTCACTCAACAGGAAGGGTGTGCACACTGCTCTCTGATGGTCTCTCTTTGTAGCTTGGCTGTTCCCTCTGAGTCAGCTTCTCTGTTGGCCTCCGTTCTTTCTTCTTCCTAAGAAATGACTTGCAGGACCTCTCCTCTGTCAGTCTACCCTCTGCTTTATGGCTCCTGCTTAACTTTCCCTCCCAGATCCCATTGTGTTGCCTTCACCCTTCAGCGTCCACTCTCTTGTATCATATCCTAAAACATAATATCTGGTTGGTTCCTCTTTAATGTTAATATTAAAATATTGTTTTATTTTGCTATTGAATATAACATTTAATTCTCTGTTTTCTGACATCCCATCATCAGGCAAAGTCCTCCACAGACAGCCCCTTTATATGACTCTCGAAAAACCGAACAGTTTAAGCAGCTTTAAACAAAGAGGGAAGTGGAAAAATCGGTCTTATACCTTAAATTCCAACCTGCAGACCCTTGGTGGGAAAATCAACAACAATCTTCCCCTACACAGACTCACCAGCTCATGGGAGGATATCTGTTTAAACCAAATATGCTTAGATTATAAGGAAAAATACATGAATAATGTTTTGCATGCATTTTCCTCTGTAGTTTTTCAATGCTACTTTTTCTCTGATGTTAAAAAATTAAAGCCTGAGGGATGTCTGACAAAGCTGATAATGTAACTGCAAGCTCACAGGAATTCCTTTCCCCCAGATTTGCTGAAATTAACAAAAATGTAAAAATGACAAAGAACCCATGAACCCTGAAACCAAAAAAAATTAAAAATCCCAACTTCATACCCTAAACTGAGAAGTGTCACCCAGAAAAAGAAAAATTAGACCAAACTGAACAAAGGTGCTAAAAAAAAATCAATATATTCTTCAAAGAAAAGAATGGAACATGGAGACATACAAGAAGGGAATTCTGAGAAGTCATTGCTTTTGATGGTGTTGGCATCAAATATCAAGGTATGTCCGGGGGAAGGCCTGGAAGAGCCCACACCTCCACTGGGAACCCTTTCTTCCATCAAGAAGACATTTTCCCTCAGGCAAGAAGAGTGAAGAAGGCTTACCATCTTGCCTGCCTCTGATATGTCAATAAGTAGGCAAGGAATAGGGGAAGCATCTGCTAGGAATAATATTAGAGCCGAATCAAGAAAAAGCTCCTCAAAACATGGAAAAAATATCTGTCCTCAACCAAGCCAGAAGACTGCAAGACACCTATTAAGGAGGGAGCTTGATAGCAGCCACCTAAAGCCCCAGCTCTCTTTTCATTCCTCTTGAGCAATGGAGAGACCAGATAAAGCATATACATAATGGACATCTAGTCCATATTATAGATGGAAAAATAAGACAATACCCAGTCCAACACTGGGGGCACTTAGTAGGCTGAGAAAGAATGGCTCGCATTCATTAAAGAGTTTCCAGGGGCACCTGGGTGGTTTAGTCGGTTAAGTGTCCAACTCTTGATTTTGGCTCAGGTCATGATCTTGGGGTCATGAGATCAAGCCCCACTCTGGGCTCTGCACTCAGAGTCTGCTTGAGATTCTCTCTCTCCCTCTCCCTCCCACTCTCATGTGCTCGTGCATGCTCTGTCTTTCTCAGATAGATAAATAAATCTTTAAAACAAAAAGCTTCTGGAACACACGGACACGTGACTGAGGCAAAAAAATCTGCCCATACAGGGGCGCCTGGGTGGCTCAGTCAGTTAAGCATCCAACTCTTGATTTCGGCTCAGATCATGATCTCAGGGTCATGAGATCAAGCCCCACAAGCTCCCCGCTAAGTGGGGAGTCTGTTTGTCTCCCTCTCCCTCTGCGCCTCTCTCCACTCACACGCTCTCTCCCCACCCCCAAAATAAATAAGCAAAGCTTTAAAAAATCACATAAGGGCACCTCAGTGGCTCAGTTGGTTGAGCGTTGGACTCTTGGTTCAGCTCAGGTCATGATCTCAGGGTCCTGAGATCAAGCCCCATGTTGGGCTCTGTGCTCAGCGGGGAGTCTGCTTGAAACTTTCTCTCTTCCTCTCCCTCTGCCTCTCCCCACCCCCCCCACGTGCATGCACACACTCTCTCTCTCTCAAATAAATAAATCTTAAAAAAAAAAGAAATGTTAAACATAAAAACCTGCTCCTTAAGAAGCCCTTACTTATGAAATGCTTTTTTCCCCCCAAATTACGGAAGAATTAAACCAAAAACATTTTAATGAGAAATTCTGTGAACAGTCCTCGAAAATTAAGGATTGATTTTCTATACAGGTGTGGCTCCAGGGAGTCTTAATTTTCTTTCTCTTCAAAAAAAAGAAAAGCAACAAACAGTATGAAACTTTACGAATGTGTTTAAGAAATCGAATCACAGACTTTCACCCTGTAATTGTATTCTTTGGGTTTTTTCAAGATGCTAAAGAAGGGACCTTTATTTTAGCACTTGGGTGGAGGCGTAACAGAACCATCTGCATGATGGATTTGGCAACGGGGAAAAGAGCCATTTTGGCTAAAAAGGGTTGCTGTACGGATGCCACATGCAGAAACAAGTTTTCATTGCCTCACGGTCTTTATATATTCTGTTTATACGTGAGCACTAGGTTCCCATCGCAAACTGCTCACATGTCACACGTTTCCCTTACATATCGAGGTTTTCTGTGACTCGTTAGTTCCTCTTTGCGGTCCCTTGGTGACCTCCTCATGCGTCCCATGCAAACATCTATCCTTGTGGTGCAGCAGGTTGAAAAAAGGAGCACATCACAAGCCCGTGATGCCAGTTTAGGAGTCTGCTTAAAGAAACACCTAAAATGACGAGGTAAAAGAGGCATTGCACCAGTTTTTCTGAGAAATTGGTGACACAGGTGGAGATTTAAAAGGAAATACAAGAAACCCGAGGGAGTCTGGAGCCCCCATACTGTGGGCTTTGAACTAGAGGTGGAAAATCTTGGTCCCAGGAGGCCAGAGAGAGGGAGGGAGCTGAATACCAACAACCTGAGAATTGGACTGGTTATCCAAGTAGCCACAGTAAATATCAACCGGAACACGATGGTGGTGCGTCCAAGGAGTTTGTTGAAGAAAGCAGTGCTAGAGTAGTTTGGGGTCTTGGAAATTTTAGTAGCAGAAAGGAAGGGAAAGGGGTTTATGCTGGAAATATTGTAGAAGTAAGAGTAAGTTGTGGGGGTGGAGGACACGTACAGGGGAAGAGCCAAGAATGAAGTGAAGATTATACCAAATTTCTTTTTACTTGAGAGATTGAGAAGTACAGGAATCTGGGCAAAGGATCCTGAAGGAAAAGTAGAAGTAAGTATCTCTGACTTTACCATGCACGGAGACACTTATATATTGTCTGACTGATTTCTGAGCACTGAAAAAATGTAAACAAAGATTCATACGCTATCAGTCATCTGTTTTCCCCTTTCCCCAGGATTACTTCTAAGTTTGGGGGGAATTTACCTAGCTCCTGGGGAGAGGGGCTGCACAGGCTGAGTATAAGTCCATTTGTGAATCCAATGTGACGGTGCATTGGTGACCAGTGGTGTAATCTGTGTAAAGCCAGGTTTCATTGGAGAACTGTAGATGTCGATGGCTCTTGGTTCTGCCTCATCTTGCTTCCTTTCCACATCCTTCAGATATTTCTGCAGAGACATGTGCATTTTGGCTTTCTTCTCTTCATGACCATAAAGTTAAAACAGGACTCTGCGTCCGAGTCAGCACACAGCCCTGTGCACACCAGGAACAGCTCGACCGGGGAGCTGAATGACAGCATGACTCCTGGCGCCATCTGTTGGTGGCAGGCAGAATCAACGTGCTTTGTCTCTGCCTGATTTTGTGGACAACACGCAGTTCCCCCTCCCCCCTCCCCCCCAACCCATTGGTAGTTTCTAAGCAGAGGATCTTATACAATTGCAAAGTCATATGCCACTGACTCAGCCAGCAACACTTGTCCTTTTCTTTCTCTATTGTGAAGGTGTGGCGAGGCACACTGGCCCGCATGCGGTACAAGAGAACCAAGGCAGCTCTGACAATTATCCGATATTACCGGCATTACAAAGTGAAATCGTACATTCATGAGGTTGCCAGACGCTTCCACGGCATCAAGACCATGAAGGACCACGGCAAGCACGTGAAGTGGCCAGCCCCACCTAAAGTTCTCCACCGTTTCGAGGAGGCCTTACAGGCCATTTTTAATAGGTAAGGAAGAGCCTGTTGGCCTGTGCCGCATCCGTTTATGGGAGCACACGTAATGTATAAAGCCCCAGATCTGAGGCCGTGACATTGGCTCAGCTGTTTGCCACTGCGACTTTTACCTCAGGTCTTCAGATCTGTAGATTTCACTCTCAAGGGGCATCTGTTTACGTCTCAGAACAATGGGACTTTATTTATTAACACATGGGACCGTGCATTTACTCTTCCTACGGCGGCGGACAGCAGTGCACCACCAAGCCCGAATCACGCCACGGTTAGGACAAGCTGTTAGCCTGCCGTCTCTTTTATTAGCAAATAGTAACTACATGTTAAAATCACCACACGTAACTCAAACTGGAAAGTGTGTTAATCCTTTCAGGGCAGCACTTCTCTACCCTGGTTATGAAACCTACCAAAGAGTTTATGAGACATACTGATGCCCACATCCTGCCTCCAGAAAGTCCTGCTTAACGGAACCCAGGAGTGGGGCCCAAACAAAGGTCCTTTCTAAAGTTTCCCAGATGATTTTTTTTTTTAAGATTTATTTATTTGAGAGAGAGAGACAGCACAAGCAGGAGGGGCAGAGGGAGAGGGAGAGATTCTCAAGCAGAGAATCCACACTGAGGGCAAAGCCCCGCACCAGGCTCGATCTCATGACCCCTAGATCACGACCTGAAGCCGAAACCAAGAGTTGGATGCTTAACTGACTGTGCCACCCAGGCGCCCCCCCCCCCAGATGATTTTAAAGTGTGAGAGGGAAAACAATTGTTTTAGAGCAGGCTTTTTTTTTTAAGATAAATAAACACCCATGTAAAATCTGGTATCTTTCCAGCTGATCTCATTTTTTATAAACTAACTTGAATCTGAGTTTGTAGTTATTCACAGCCCCTTATCCCTCATTATTTGTTTGTTGCTGGTGTGCGCCAGATACATTTAGCTATGTCTTAGACACAGCCATCCAGTCACATAAACGAAGCTGACAGTTCTCAAATGTGGCCATTTGGCAGTGTGGTATTCCACAAAGAACACTATGAAATAATCAGCATACCAAATGTGAAAGAGCTAATTTATAATTCTGTGCTAAATCAGATTTTATCTTCCTTTAGAGTTAGCTCTGTATAGTTGGTGGCACATATCAAAAGATAAATGAAAATGCATAGGAAAAAAATTATTTAATATATACCCCATTTGCTTTTTGTAAAAACAGAAGAAACGATATCTCATAAAAAGAAAAGCTCAATAAGGAATTATTGAAAGCAAAATTACCTCAGGTTTCAGATCTAATACTATAAATACTCGTTGTAAATCCTGACAGGCTTTTTTTAATGCACAGGTAAGTGATTTTCATGAATGGTATCATCTGTAACCTGATTTTTGACTTAATTTAAAACGTAATTAAGCTATGCATGAATACACATGCTTATTGTGGTTTTTTTGTAAAGTGAAATAATATAGAAATATATGAGATGTAAAATTGAAATCCTCCACACCTCCATTTGTCTTCCCCATTTTATTTCCTTGCCCTGAGATAATCACTCATTAACAGTTTGTATCCTTCTATGACTGTGTGCATTTTGAAGCACATGCCCACATGTAAGAGACAGCATGGTATAGTGGTTAAGAACACAGATCCTGGAGCCTGGGTTTATATTCTGTCTCTGCTGCTGCCTAGTTGTATAACCTTGGGCACGTTAGATAATCTCTTTGAGCCTCAGTTACCATATCTGTAAAAGGGCTGTAACGGTAGTACCTGCTCGTAGGGTTGTTGGAAAGATCATGAGTAAATATGTATGTAAAGCATTTCAGATTGTACCTGACACGTAATAAACACTGTAGTAATGTTGGCTCATAGTAAGAGTGTGTATGCATGCACAGTCACCAGTCACATATCATTTGGGCTCTTCTTCCTCTCTTTTACACAAGCAGGCTTATAGGACGACTTGAAAATGTTTTGGAGACCTGTCCATGACAATAAGGAAAGATCCATATAGTACTTTTTTTTTTTTTAAAGATTTTATTTATTTATTTGACAGAGACACAGTGAGAGGGAATACTGAGGCCACTCTCAGGGGGAGTGGGAGAGGGAGAAGCAGGCTCTTGGTGGAGCAAGGAGCCTGATGGTGGGCTCGATCCCAGGACCCTGGGATCATGACCTGAGCCGAAGGCAGCCGCTTAACTGACTGAGCCACCCAGGCGCCCCTCCATGTAGCACTTTTAATGACCACAAGGAATTACTGATTTTGTTTGTGTTGCACTGTGGCCTGTATAGTCTTCTTTTTAGATTTTAATGGTTTTATAGATGGCCTAGAATTGATGAATTTTTGCGAAATTCAGTTTGTTCATTCAGCACATATTCACACAAGGCTAGCTGTGTCATGGGCACTGGCCTGGGTTCCAGGGATATGGTGACAGACAAGAAAGATGGGAAGACAGTCCAGCCTTCTCGGGGCTTCAGTGTACAAGCATTTTGAAAATAATGCATCTGCTCCGCTTGCTGACTTTGCATGCACGTGTGCACGTGCACACACGCACTCTGAATGAATCCTGCCAGTTGTGTTAATCTCATCCAAAGGCAAACTTTTTCTTTTAAAAGACACGGTAGTAAATATCATAGGCTTTATGGGCTACATATGGTCTTTGTCACATACTTTGCTTTGTTTTTCTCTGGTCTTGTCAAACATGTAAAAAACTTCTTGGCTCATGAGCAGCACAAAACCAGGCCATGGGCTGAATTTGGCACAGACCGTGGTTTACCAACCCCTGATACAGTGACTGTATCCTACTTAATTTATTCTTCACTTTTTTGATCTGCGGACTACTGAGAGAAGTGCACTAAAGGACTCCACTGCGATTGTGGGCTTTTGTTTTTTTGGTTTTTTTTGGTTTTTCTAAAATCTCAACATTAATCATGGTGAAGCTCGCTCCTATTCCTCCCAGTAATTCTTTTTCATTCTGGGAAGACTGGGAGCCTTCGTCATGTTCATCTTTCTCCCCCTTTTCATGTTGTCGAGGCTGATGATTTTTATGCCGCCATAAAAATGGTGTTCGGGGCTACAGGCGTTTATAGATGGTGGTTTTCTTGAGAGGGTCAGAAGCCTGTGTAGCTCTCTCTGTGGTTATATACGTCAGGTCCCAGATGCCCTGTGTGCCCCTGCACTCTGGAGTGAGTCAGGTACGGACCTTGTCCTGGGCCACGGTGGGCAGTAAAGAAGGGACAGACAGACTGGGCACCTGGGCTGAAAACAGACCATCAGACAGCAAAGACTGCCTCCCCCCCTCCCAGGGAATAAAATTTGGGACCCAAGGACTAATTGGGGCAGTTGCTCAGCAAGCCTCTTAGTGTTGTGGGATGTATATACCTGTCACCAGTGACCTTGACGAAGACCACCGACTGCTCCCACCCTGTGATTCTTCCAGTGACTTCTGGAATGACCTTAGGACATTCTGTCCCATTGCAGTGTCAGTTGGCCACAGAAAGCAGAGAGGAGAATTCCTCCTGCTGAGCCTTTCCTATTTCCACGGCTTTTGTTTTTGTATCCTGCTACCTCTGACTTCTTTTTTTTTTTTTAAAGATTTTATTTATTTTTCAACAGAGAGAGAGAGACAGCGAGAGAGGGAACACAAGCAGGGGGAATGGGAGAGGGAGAAGCAGGCTTCCCGCTGAGCGGGGAGCCCGATGCGGGACTCGATCCCAGGACCCTGGGATCGTGACCTGAGCTGAAGGCAGACGCTTAATGACTGAGCCACCCAGGCGCCCGCTACCTCTGACTTCTGATGCTCTCCCCCACAACGGGGGTCCCCATCTCACCATGGGCAGGCATTCTTTGTGCAGAGAGATCCCTGCCACCAGCCCCAGCTGCCTCAGGCCCAAGCACTGTCTGGGCCGTTTCTGCCAAAGGGGTTCCTCTCCTTCCACCAAGTGGCCACTCCTCCGGCGGCGTGGTCCAGTCTACTTCGAATCTCCAAGAAGGACTTCCCGTCTTGCAGTTCACCGACATCGTTCCGGTTCTCCAGGGCTGCTACAGAGCTTTTCCTTCTTTGTGTATTCATTTGGTTATTTTGGTGGGAATTTCAGAGAGAAAAAACTTTAGGCTCAAGTTACCGTCTTAAGCCAGAATACATCTCAGGAAAATCTTAGATGGAAGCAGTCTCACATTCTGGGTGCGTGCCAAGGGGAGAGAGCACCACCTCTCCGTGTTAGGTGTGTCTCGCCTCATGCTCCGTGGAAGATCACTAGAGAACCCCTGGCCTTGACGAGTTCATCTGCTGTAAAGAAGTTCTGAGTTTGTTTCCAGCCCCTGCTTCAGGCTCCTGTGGGAGAAAGGAGGGCGTGAGTGCAAGGAAGGCTAGGACGGCCCTCACAGAATTAAAGCCCTGTGCTTGCTTTTCTCCATCAGTAATAGCTTATTTTTAGTGTATGCTTGGACCCAACAGTCTTGGGGTCATCTTTACATTCCCCCTTATTCTCTTGCTCCTGTGTCTAATCCATCAGCAAATCTACTGGCATGTCCTTCAAAATGCATCCAGGACCAGCACCTGTCTCTGCCTCCACCACTCGCTGCCTGATCCCAGCCACTGACCTCTCCCGCACATGTCATGGAAATAGCCTCCTCCCTGATTCAGTCTCCTTCCACGCGGCAATCGGAAAGTCCTGTAGATCAGGAGTCGGGTCACGTCCCTTCCTTGTTCGCAGCCTCCTAGTGGTGTCTGGTCTCATCCAGAGGAAAGGCCAGAGTCCTTACGGTGGACTCTGTGGGTCTGCGGATCTGTCCCTGGGTCCCCGTCTGGCCTCTCCTCCTGTGCCCCTCCCCCATGCCCCTCCGGCTGCAGCCCCACCAGCCTCCTCCCTGGTCCTCCAACCCACACACTTTAGAGCCCGTGCACTGCTCTGCTCTCTTCCTGGCGAGGACACTCTTGCTCAAATATCTGTGCACCTCCCTCACTTCCTGAAGGTTTCTGCTCCTATATCCTGATCAGTGGTGCCCCCCCCAGACCTCCCTGTATAAATAACACCCACACCCTGTTCCTGCCTGCCACCGTGCTCCTGTCCTTTCCTTGCCTGATTTTCTCCATAGCACTGAGCACATCACACATACTGGTTGGTTTGTTGTCCGTCCCTGCTTCTAGAAGGTAAGCACCTAGCAGAAAGGACCTAGATCCGTTTGTCCACTGCTGGGCCTCCACTGCCTAGAACAGCATCTGGAGTTTAGTAAGTGCCTAGAAATGTTCAGTGAATGCCTCAGTGTTGAATGAAGGAAGGACTTTCTGTGCCCTGACTATAAATGTTATGAGAAAAACTCATGTATCATGAAGTTCTACTTGTTTTCAAAACACACAAATGACAAAGCAAGTTATACAAAAATCTTTGGGGGCTCCTGGGTGGCTCAGTCGTTAAGCGTCTGCCTTTGGCTCAGGTCATGATCCCAGGGTCCTGGGATCGAGGCCCACATCGGGCTCCCTGCTCCACGGGAAGCCTGCTTCTCCCTCTCCCACTCCCCCTGCTTGTGTTCCCTCTCTTGCTGTCTCTGTCTGTCAAATAAATAAAATCTTAAAAAAAAAAACAACTTTGTCTAAAAAACTGTGTATTTTGGGTGCCTGGGTGGTTCAGATGGTTAAGTGTCTGCCTTCAGCTCAGGTCATGATCCCAGGGTCCTGGGATCGAGTCCCGCATCAGGCTCCCCGCTGCGGGGAGCCTGCTTCTCCCTCTGCTTCTCTCTTTCTCTGTCTCTCATGAATAAATAAATAAAATCTTAAAAAAATAAAAAATAAAAAATAAATAAAAATAAAAAACTGTGTATTTTAACAAGGTCTGTGTATATTTTAGAGACCTTTCTTTTTTTAAGATAGCATGCAAGTACTTTGGTTTAAATTCTGTTTAATGGCAGCCCAGTTACTTGGGGTCACGAATGGGATTGGGTTTCTAAATGCTAATACATTTCATTTATTCACTTACAGATGGAGAGCATCCCAGCTCATCAAGAGCCTGCCCACTTCCGACCTGCCCCAGGTCAGGGCCAAGGTTGCAGCCATGGAAATGCTGAAAGGTCAGAGGGCTGACCTTGGGCTCCAGAGAGCCTGGGAGGGCAACTATCTTGCTTCGGTACGTGCCAGAGAATAAAGTGGAATCTATTCCTGCTCCCTTTACAAAGAAAAGGAAGAATTTTTCTCCACAACTTTGTAGAAAGAATGAGATACCTACAGAAACTAAACTTCTGTGGGCGACACTCACCTAAAAGATTTTGTTGCTTCTCAGTGTGCAGTGTTGGCTATTTCCCTTGCTTTACAAAGGGCCGTCTGTCGCTCTCCACCATATGTACTAGACATACTCCAAAACCTAATTTTTGAGCATTTGAACCTTCCCTTGCATAAATCAGCAGCTATTTTTAATTACCACCTTTATATTAATTATTCCCAGAGCTACATTTCATCTTCCCTCCCATTGTGCATTTTAAAATTTTTATAGGCCCTTTGGTGGTATGACACGCCTGCAGCAGCCCACCATCTGGGATGGGAGATAAAAGTATGTGTGTGAAACTGTCTGAGCAGGGTGATAAAGCCAGGCCACTGAAAAATGGCCTTTTCATCCAAAATGCTAAGCAGACTCATTTCATCATGTTTCCTTTTTCTTTCAGAAGCCCGACACGCCTCAGACCTCAGGCACTTTTGTCCCCGTTGCAAACGAACTGAAGCGGAAGGACAAATACATGAACATTCTCTTTTCCTGCCATGTCCGTAAGGTGAGGCGGGCTGGGGCCGACCCCCCGGGAGGAAAAGGTTTTGATCAGAGGACCTTACCGTAGCTGTGACTGCAGTACAACGTGACGGTAGCTACAGTCCCAGCGCCACCGTCACCGAGTGCCCCCTGCCTGTGCTGGGGCGGGGGTGCGGTGGCTCCAAGGGTAGGATGTGGAGATTTTTGGTTTTAAGGGGGACCTCCCTGTGCTCCGGGGTTGGTACTTTACTGCAGGCGTATCTTTCACAGCAGATGCTGGTCTACCTTGTAGTTCATGGTCATTTCGTACCTCTTATATGGGTTTGATTACAATTTTAAAGGTGGGGAGGGAGGGAGGAAGAACATAGTCTACAAAAGGGAAGACAGAGAATTTGGGTGGCGGGGGAGGGCGAGTTATACATGCTGTGAATCTAGTTTATCTGAGGCAAGATGTGTGTGAGGACTCTTATTTGCCTTCAGATAATGTCCGCGGGGCAAGTGAAGTATGGAAGTTGGAGAGGGGAAGGCATGGGACATGGTTGGCTTTTCAAAACTTTAAAATACTTCTTTTCACAAAATAGGAAATCACAATAATTAATTTTAAAAAAGCATCTTACAAAAATTAGGCAAATAAATTTCAAAATATTAACGAAATGGGTGAATTTAAGAAAAATATTTCTGGGATGCCTGGGTGGCTCAGTTGGTTAAGCATCCGACTCTTGATTTTGGCTCAGGTCGTGATCTCGGTCCTGGGATCGAGCCCCGCGTTGGCTCTACACTCAGTGGGGAGTCTGCTTGGGATTCTCTCTCGCCCTGTCCCTCTGCCCCTCCTGCTCCTGCTCTCTCTCTCTCTAAGATAAATACATAAATCTTAAAAAATTTCCTAGATTGACCCCAGAAGAAATATTAACGTAAATATGCCAGTATCCAAAGGAGGAATGAAGAAAATGATCAAAGAATTACCTCATAACAAAAGCCCAGGTGTGGGTGACTTGAGTTGTTTTGTTTCAAATCTTGAAAGAGTACACAATTGCAGTATTATTCAGATCAAAATAATGAAGTATTATTTTTCCACTGTAAATTTGGCAAACTTTAAAATGTTGATAACCAGTGTTTGCACGAATTTAAGGAAACACTATTGATAAGATACAGTCCTTCTGAGTGAATAGTTTGGCAATAGCTATCAAAATTTTAAATGCCCAGAGCACTTAATCTGGGAATTCCACAACTCGGGATTTATCCTATGATATATTCACACATACATCCAAAGATACAGTTTTGTACATTGTAATGGCCAAAAAACTGGAAAAAGATGTGCATTAATATATGATGAGATTAATAAATGTGTGCACAATAGAATACAATGTATCTATAAAATGAACAAAAAGAGGATATATGTTAAAAAAAAAA